AGAGATGAAGTCTAGTATGTGTGTATATATACAGGTGGAGAGATGAAGTCTAGTATGTGTATATATATACAGGTGGAGAGATGAAGTCTAGTATGTGTATATATACAGGTGGAGAGATGAAGTCTAGTATGTGTATATATATACAGGTGGAGAGATGAAGTCTAGCATGTGTATATATATAGGTGGAGAGATGAAGTCTAGTATGTGTATATATACAGGTGGAGAGATGAAGTCTAGTATGTGTATATATGTACAGGTGGAGAGATGAAGTCTAGCATGTGTATATATATATACAGGTGGAGAGATGAAGTCTAGCATGTGTAAATATATGATTGGAGATGATAAAGGGTTAAAGATGTATATGATATTTTATTCTGTCTTAAAATATCACATTAATTGAATTAAAGACTGCCAGCTATTATCTGAAAGCTGTAGCTTTGATTCTTTAATTTAAACCTGCTTTGAAACTAAAAAATTAACTATTTGTCATTTTGTTTGATAGAAAAAGTATTTTTACATTCACAAGTGTGCTGAGTGTGGCCCAGTGGTTAAGGTGCCATACTGTGGAGCTGAGGTTCCATGGTTCATCCCTATAACTCCTATAACCATCAAAAAAATATCAAATTCTGCACATCAGAGCTGTAGATATGTTATAAAAATGATGGTGAAATCCTATTCATAGGCCTGACAAGAGTAGCCCAAGAGTTTGTTATTGGTGGTGTTGATTCTAAAATAGGGATGGCTAGTACATATAGCTTTCTGTGAAATTAAACATACAAAAAATTGCCTTATTCTGAATTGATGCTAAAACATTATCAGATTTTAATGTACATGCGTGTTATCATATTTGTCAAATTTTGATAATGTAATTGCTAACCATTCATTAGTATTTCCTCTATAGTACTTCTTATGGAGTATTAATGAATTTTATCCAATAGAACTGTTTTAGAAGCCAGGAGGAACTGTTGTGGAATAACAACAGGTCTAAAAAATTGTCCTTATAAAAGTATATTTTTATAAAGTTGTATATAATATAAACCAGTGTTTAACATCTGTTAAATCTTTATTTTGTGAGAGTTTCTCCAAAAATCTAAACTATATTTAATTATTTTAGCTAAATGGAGATATGTTTGAAGAAGCAGTTCTTTCTGAAATCATGAAACAAACTCCCTTTATACAGAAGAGTGTGTACAAGGTGAGAGAGAGTAACTTTGGATTTGTGTTTAAGTTTAAACTCAAATTTAATTTTATAGATGTAGTTTTGTGTTGGTTTCAATAAGGGTCGTGAAAAATTGTAAATGTACACAAGATCTATTTTCAAAAGGTTTATGTGCATCATTAGTGTACCTAATGGTCTAGATTATTCTTAAACAGGCCCACACAGAATTTGTAGGGAATTTTTCCAAATTCTTTGGAATGTTTTGCTTAAAACCTGCAGAAATTTTACTTATTGAATAATTTTTTTAAGTTACCTTATAAACAGGTATCAGCTACATGAAAGAGAAAAACAAAAGTTATCACTCTATGATTCTAACAATATTAACATTGTTTCCTGCTGAGTATGTTGAGCCAATGGATATAAAGTTTTCTTAGACACCTGTTTGTATTGAATAAGGCTATATTTCTTTTATTTGTAAGTAGGTCATTTGTACACTAAAAAACAACAAATAAATATATAGATATGGAAAATTAAGTTACTGTGTGAAAGACTAATTTCAAAATATATTATCTCGTCAAAGATGATTTTATTTTACATGAAAAAATAACCTAAAAACATAAAAAAATCACCAACAACAGTTTGTAGACAATGGATTTTGAACATTTGAGTGGGAAACTTACCAGTGCTCACACTAAAAATGAGCCTTTACTTATGCTATGATAAAATAAAACTCATTCCAAAATAAAACCACTATCATTATGAGTCATTGACTTGTTAGTTTTTAAGATAATAATACACTGGTAGCTATCAGATTGTGTGCAAATGCATAAATATGAATTTAGATGTAATTCATTTAAATTGATTTCTGTAAAAGTTTATTTTTTTTATACATTTTCTGCAGACTTGAGTATAATCTGTACTTTTTCATCAAACATCAGCACCTGCACAATTCCTTCTAGGTCTAACTATAATTAATTCACTATTTATAATTATTATTTTAGGTTGTATTTTTTTATTCAGATTTACTAATAAGAAAACTTTTGTTCATAATTAACTATAATTCAAAGCAAAAAAGCTGAAAGTTTCATTTTGGTGATTTTCTGCACTGTATTAGAAAGTTGCCAATATGTTGACAGATTTGAAATACCAAATCCAAGAAAAAAATAGTGATGTTTTTAAAGAGGAAAAACTATGTTTAACTATAAACCATGGAGTTGTATTTAGTAACAACAAATATCTTGAAACTGTATCAGTTTATTCAAGTAAACAAAATATAGACATAAAAGCAAAAGTATCCATCCCCAGTGACAGAAAAAAGTTTAAGTTCATTTATCAATTTGAATTATTTCATGGACTTTAAAAAGGTTAATTATGTTGCACTCTTGGTTTCACTCAGAGCTCAAGCTCTCAACTGTTTATATTGCCCACCACGAAAAGTAATTGTTGAGAATTTCAGTCATGCTAAGAGCAGCTTAACAATAACATATAGTAAATCTACATTTTTATTCATTAAGTTACATCACATTTTGAAATGTGAATGATAGTGTAATTAATTCCTAACAATTTAGTTTATAATATCCTACTTGTTAAATAAAATTTGGCATCAACATAACATGTCTGTTCTATCATTTCAAAAGGGAATGTTGAGCTTTGCCTGTGTGTGTGCAGTGCAGGAAGAAGCTGCTGTAAACTGGAGACAGACAAATGCACAGACAGACATCACGATTCGCAGTATACATATAAGATAATTAGAGATAAATATTATAATAATTATTGTATTATGTTTTGTATATTTATAGGGAGACTTATCAGACCATGAAGAAGTCATAGATTTTTTAATGGCCCAGAAAAATGTTATGCCTCGACTTAATCAGAAAATCCTTTCCTCAGATGGCACTTACATTGATTTAACTGGGAGAGTTGGTAAGTTATTAAAAAAAAGTTAAAATTATCAAAATATTAAGAGATGAGTACTGACATGTGTAAAACATAGTTTTTATTACTCAGTATTTAAGGCAAGAGGTAATATTACTACTTCAATTGCTTTCTGTAATTTTTATTTAAAAATGATTAAAATTTATTTTTTTGTCTGATAATAGTTTAAGTGCCAGATTATAACCTTAAAGTTCTGTTCTTTCCACATCATAAAATAGTTATGTTAGTTATTGCATGTGTATTTATTCTTCTAGATGACACAAACAAACTTTTGTATTTGATAATTTCATATTCTCTTCAATTATAACCGTGTTCTACATATATCAGTTATGGAGTTTTTTGTATTAAATTAATTAATTTTCAAAGAATTTTAACCGAAACATTAAAATAATTTTAGAAAAGTAAGATTATGCATTTTTTTTTATGTATGTGTGAAAATATTGCTATTTAAGGCAAGTAGATGATGAATTATTTTTCAGTTGAAGATCTTACAATAGAGGATTTTAATTCCCTGAATGTAGCAGACATGGCCACAACATTTTCCGCACATCTGAAGCATATTACAAAACGAGGTAAGATAAGAAAATGTATGTCTTGCTGGTTCTTAGCTCATTGATTGTGGTTGATTGTGTGTGTGTGTTAATCAGTAGAAGTATTCAATTTGATTAATAGCAAAAATTAATGTTTCCGCTATATGCCTAAAGCTACTTACTGTTTTACATCCAATGATATTAGTGTTTTCTCTGTTTCCTGTAATGTTTTCATTTTTAAAATAATATTCCGCTGTTTTTGTATTTTTTTCATCCTTAATATCAGATTGAGATTGATTCATTCTGATTTGCTACAGAAAAATATTTTAATAAACAACTTCTACTGGAAACACGTCTTACCTGAGATGTATTATTGCCATTGTTAGCATCAGTCAAAACTAATTTTAATCTACAGAATGAAACTAACGAGTTTTTGTTATTACTAATTTGTATGAAAGATACTGAAAATATTTTTTTCCATTTTTATAGTAGAGGGAATTTATTTTCATCCATTAACTATTTGGATAGCTGGTGATTATGACCTGCCTGAAGGTCGAGCTCTGCTTGCTTCTGCACTAGCCCACCTGGTAAAAAGTGAAATTTTTGCTTTTAGATTAAGTTAAAAGAAGGTCTTGATATACATGTATGAATTCTAGTTTCTATTCAGTATGGGTGAGATTTTTCTTGAGATCATGAGCAAACAAAGTAAGTAAAGTAAATATAATGTAAACTGTGATACATACAATTTTAAAAGTGAATACAACAAACCAGTGTTAGAAATATTTAAATGTAATTATCAATACATAGGTGAAAAAGCAAACTGTTTTTTAAACTATTTAATGACTAGTAAAACTCTTTTAAATACTATTTTTATGAAATTGCAGTCTTACCTTTAATGTATTGGTCAAAAATCTAATTTTTATAATTACTGTATTTGAAAGAAAATGAAAAGCATTATTTATTTCCAATCTTTAGAAATCTTCTCAAGAAGTTCGCTTGGGAGTCATCTTCAACCCAACTGTACCATTAAGTCCAGGTGTTATAAGTAAAGCCATTCATTCAGCACTCTCCAGCCTGGAGCAGAACACTGCTAAACTTTTCATCAACAAATTGTTGAAGGAAGCAAATATCAAAGCCATTGAGGCAGGAAATAAGACTTTACTCAATTTTGCAGTTAGTGTAAGTTCTAACATTGTTCATCACAATATTAATATACACTTTGATAAACTAACTTTAAAATGTTTTTAACAGTGTTTATCATCCAGAATTGATTATCAAGACTTAGGTTTTAAGTTTTTTGTGCTACTATTGACAGGGTCTTTTCTTGTTTTCATTTTTATCTATTAAAACTCAGTTTTTCATCTTAGTTTTTCTTCATTGAAGAACTACCCAAAATTAAAAATGTTCTGAAATATCAATAGGGATTTAAAATTCAAGTCATACTTAAAATATCAGATGGGAAATCTCTGAAAGTTTGTTTTGATAATAGATGTTTGTGCTTTGTGTAATTAAATTACAATTTCTTTTTGCTTATATTTTTGTAATTCTAATAACTAGAGTACTATCTAACTATTATAAAAAGATTTATTGTTCTTCTTCCTTTAATTAATGAAAATTCATGAAATGCTTTTATGTGTGGCTTTTCTAACAGAATTTCTATAAACAATGGAAATTTATGGTAAAAATTTGATTTTACACTAAAGCATTTTTTGTTCTATAGAATATGAATACAGAAAGATTCTTGGAAGTTTTTGAAAATGATGTGACAGAGATATTTGCCAGACACTCTTCCTTCAGTAAAAATGTTCTTGGGCTACCTTCTGGAAGCCGTGCAGTTGTTGCTAATGGCAGAGTGAGTGAAAGTAAAATGAAGATTTATAAAGGAGCTATTGATTTAAATTTCTAGGTATAGAGAAAATATTTTTACTGTGTCCCCTTGTTATAATAAACAATGTTGTTTATCTTAAATATCATTATCCTTTTGATTGTGAACACTTATAAACATAAAAAAAAATACAAAGATAAGTGTCTACTATGATAGATATATATATGTATATGTAATCTTTATAAATTTGATAATGAGATTGATTTTATACAGATAAATTTCCTAACATCTGGGGGGAAAAAAGGACATTTTAAGTAATAAACTGATACATCCGTGTCTTATAGTGAGAAGAATTGACATTTGATATGAAACTAGGAGAGCCCTTTGACAGAATTTTTACAATTTATTATTAATACTTTCATTGTTTCATAAATCATGTATTCATTATGCTATATTTTATGCCACACATTCTTTTAACAGTTAAAATCTTATGTCACAGGTTTATGGCCCTTTTGATGAAGAAGAGAAATTCAGTGAAGATGACTTCAGTCTCTTAGAAAAATACTCAATGAATATGTATGGCACAAAACTTAGTAAAGAACTCAAGAGTTCTCCAGAAATGGGAAAACAGGACAGGTTAGTTGGAACTTAATTTGATATTGATAATTGAGTATATGTGGAATAAATTGTTACACAGTTGAAATAGCTAAGAAACATTTTCTCTTAAATATAGTATTAATCTTGAAATAATCTGTAAAAAAATAGTTATAACTTAACAGTGTTTTGAATTGCCTGAAAAAATGTTTTTGTTCTAGTTAACATTAGAAGATTGTTTTCAAAATGTTTAGTAACATAATTGTTTGACATAGTTAAACCAAGAAATATATATAACACTTATTTGTGAAACCACAATTGAATAATGAAATTTTATAATTGAAAAAAATATATGATGCAATTTCTTATTAAAATATTTAAGAAAAATTGAACACAAAGAAGTCAACTAAGGAATTTTAATTTAAAAGACAGTGGTAGTTCAGAAAAGTTTTGAAACAAGTTAAACCAAAAAATTGGTAATATTTGCTGTTGAAATTGTTTAATTTTTATACGAAAGTGTCATCAAATTGTTTCAGTATTTTCACATTTCAAGAGACAATTGAAAATGTAAAAGCTGACAGTGATTTTGGCTCTGAACCTGAATTACTTGATGATGATTTTGAGCATTATATGACTGATACTGATGTAGATATAGTAGTAATATCAAAGCTGGGTCTGTGGGGACAAGTGATAATGGTGACACTGAAAGTGATTATGAGGTTCCCATTTCTAAAAGGGTCAAATTTCAAGGTAGGATTCAAGGGAGATCTTGTGGACATGGTGCAGGATGTATTAACAATATATTAGTACAGGTGGGTGTACAACTACAAATAAACGTCCTTCCGTGGCTAGGCTTAGCAGGACACAACAACCAGGTATGGACTTGTTGCTGCAAATAATGATTGGTGGTGGATGATGAACATTTTCAACCTTGGATTTCCAACTTTGATGATAGAAACACTGGACACACTGTACGGAGGTGACCAGAATCTATATGATGATGCAATTATTCCTAGATGATGCTGTGTTTGATCAAATTGTAACAGAAACAAACTGCTATACTGATCAGTTTTTCAAAAGAAAGATGATGATTTGAAACCACATTCACAATTTCATAAATGAGTACATGTGAACTGTCAGAAGGTGAAAGCATTCTTTGCTTTGCACCTTGCCATGGGCTTAGTCAATAAACCCAAGGCAGAGAACCACTGGAACAGATTTTGGCTAATTGACACTCCTGGTTTCTGCTGTGTCCTTACTAGGGATAGAGTTGAATTGATCATGAGCTTCCTGCACTTTGCAAACAGTAATGATCAAGTTGACAGAGGTGCTTCATATCACTACATGTTATTGAAGGTGCATCCACTGATTGACATGATAATTCCCAAATTTACAAAAGCTTTTCGTCCAAAAAAGGAATTGGCATTGGAAGAAATGACAATCGCATTCAAAGGATGAACTATTTTGAAACATTACAACCCTAAGAAACTGGATAAATGAGGATTCAAGGATTTTGTATTATCTGGGTTAAAAAAATTAGATATGTTCTTGAATGGTCACTCTATGCAGGTAAAATTGAAAATGTTGCAAACGAGGATGGTGATAATGTATCAGTCACCTATAAGCTTCTTTGTAATATAATGACATCATACAGTGGCAAAGGGCATGAACTTTATCTAGACAGTTATTATACTAGTGTTTCCTTGACTGAGGACTGTCCAACAAGAACACAGGACTGTGTGATACTGTGAATGTGAACTGCTGTGGTATGCTGCCAGTTTTGAAACCTACTGTCTTACCTCTCACAAAAGGTGACAATCCTGTGTTCACGAGGAAAGAGGAACTGATCGTGTGTAATTGTTTTTTTATTTAACTTTCCGTATTCACAAATCACCTCCAAAAAACCTGGCCTAAAGATGAAATAACTTGCCTATTCAAAAGGGTTCTTAGCAATAAATAACAATAAATTTATAGCTTTGCTTTAAGTAGATAGCTTGTTCTGATTGAAAGTTAATAGTATACTGTAAACTGGATAAAATTGAAGGTTTAAACTTGCTTATGGGTTAGATTTAATTGGCCTAAAAAGTATGCTTGTGTTTGGCATTTTTATTTTTAGTTGCTTTGTTTGTGATAAAAATCGAGAATAGCAGCTTTGTTTGAAAGTGCTAATTAATTGAAAAAACTGCATGTAAGGCTAAATATGAACATTTTTTGTGGTTATATTTTCTCATCTATTTGTGTATGTGTGTATTCTGTATTTGGAGATGTATGAAATATGGGGTTTTTGTTAGGCCTGCTTGTTTTGTTTTTTTATAGATTATTGTATGAAACTTGACAAATCCAGTATATTTTTACTTTGTGCTGCAGATGCAAGTTAAAAGTAACTTTATGTACTGGCTTGGAAACTTTTAGGGACTACATCTGCCTATTGAGTTGAGGATGATGTTTGAAACTAGTAGTTCAGGTCTTCATCATGTCAAACATGGGGAGTTGTAGGGTATATTATAGAAGGAAGGAGTTAAAATCTATAACTCACCATGTTTGTCTACATTAGTAGTTTGAAAGTTGTCCTCAACAAGCAGATGTAGTCCACAAAAGTTTCCAATCCAGCGCAGACTCCTCTCCCTAAACTTTCGTTTAATACATTGTTTAACTCCTTATTAAATAAACGAGTATAAAGTTCAAACATTTTTAAAATGAACAATGTGCTAGAAAAATATTTTAGAAAAGTAATAAGGTTTTAAGTTGGTCAAGAGTATAACAAAAGCTTTTAAGGCAAGGAATACATTATTCTTGACAGCATGGTTCTAAACTTACTCCGACTTACACAAACAAGGAAGGTCTTCCTTCTAAAGATGCTTGGATTATCATGACTCTTCATTTGCATGATATTGGTATACTAGTTGTTTCCATATAATTTTAAATGGAAATTAAAAGCTTAAGAATATGAAATATTGTTTGAATGGTAATAATGTATTTCATTGTCTTTTTCTTAGATCATAATGTTAGTTTTAACTGGAAGTTATAAATAACTTTATGTTCAATTCATTAGCTTTTCTCATTCCAAACTGTATGATGAATTTTGACTTGCTTTAAATGTACAAGATTACGTAAAGACATGTAGTTGAAACCATAGCCTGTTCTCAGCTAGGTATGAAGCAGTTTGTCTTACACAAGTTAGAACATCATTCCATTATAATTTGGTTTTTCAAGTTTTAAATCTAACAGTTGTAATTAAAATATGTTATTTTAGTGTTTTTTACAATACAACATAACTAGTAAAATTAATAATTCTCAGGTACATTGGAATTGTGTGGGTGCACTTGTTGATATTGAGTTTCCTGAACACATTGGACCAGTAATTATCCACCCCTGCAATCATTATGCAATCATATTATGCAATTTTAAGTAAACATAGAAACCTATAAAATAGCAAAAACTTTTAAATACGAGTGTTTGAAAATCAGAAACTAATAAATAAATGTTGAATGTGAGTGCAATGCCTTCCATTCATGTAACTTCTGAAGAAACAATTATTTTTTTTTTCTTTGACGAGTTATCTCATTTTTATATTAAAAGAAAATGAACTTAAATTTTTTTTATAATACTGTACTTGACTTGTTTGAAACTACTTTTGGATGTTGTCAGTGTTTTTATGTAGACTATGTGATGTATCAGAGGTAATGTGTCTCACAGAGCAACTGTGATGTGAAAATGTTAGAATTTATGAAGAGAATATTGCTCTAAGTTGCAAACCTTGTTGCTGTGTGTATTGTGTGAAGTTAACATTTTTTTATTAGAAAAAAAAGGCATTTTTTTTCTTGTCAAAACTAAGGAATTGTACAGACAAAACTAGTGGCTGAGTTTTGCCTTGAAGAGGTTGTTCATAACATTCATGAGTATGAGGAAGTAAGTTGCAAATTTTTATAAGAATGAACATTTTGAAAGTAATTTCATTTCCTTATATATATTTGTATTCTTTGCTTTTGGCTTAGAATAATCATTTCCTGTGATTGCTGTGCCATTGTGTTTTTTGTTTAATTTTTGACATTTCTGGATCATAAAATATTATTCTGTTATTTCTGTAGTGAGCTGCTAATGAAAGCTGCATCATTATTACTGGCCAATCCCCCAAATCGTGTCAGACATGATGTTAAATTTTACAGTGATAAGCACAGGTATGATATGTTGTAGTGCTATCTGGTGTTAAAGATAATGGTTATTTTGCTTGACAACCTAGGCAGTTTAAAGAACATTTTCATTTTTCACATTTTTCTAAAATAATTTTTCAAGAAGGTAAAAAAACAAAAACAGATGCACTTGGAGCAGAGAATTTTCTTATAAATATTTAAATGACATAAAATGTCTCATGCATCACTATTTATCATGTTGAGTAACTGAATAAATATTACATTTCAAGATAGAATTTCAGGGAATAATTTTTTTTCATACTGTTATCTTATGTTTTAGAGGTATAGTTTTGATATTTATGTGGGTACATTTCTTCTATTTTTTGAATGTCTTTACTAGTGTTATCACAATACCTGCAGCGGATGCAACAGAACCTGCTCATGAGGTATTGGCTGTTGTTGATCCAGTCTCTCGAGGGGCACAGAAGCTAGCCCCCTTGCTTATGGTCTTACAGCGTGTGATTAACGCTAAGTTCCGTATATTCATGAACTGTGTGGAAAAACATTCTAATATGCCTTTAAAAAGGTACTTGGTTTTTGATTGTACTTTATGTATTACAATGTGTTTTAAAATGCTTCATTAATTAGTTCATCAGTGGAAATCCAGCATCATAGGTTTAAAAGTGTATTGTTGGTATAACATAAATAATACTGTAGGAACACAGTTATTGTTATCAACCAGAAGAGCTGTTTTATTACTTTGTATACTTTAACTTAACCATCAGATGTTTTAAAATGTGGCACATTTTTCTGTGCACTTGTGTACATTTTGGAAAAATGTAAAAAACTGAGAAAGAGTAGGATTCTAATTTGTTCAGTTGTTGACTAAGATTTACTTTACAGTGTCACAAAAACTTTTCCTCATAGTGCGACAATCTGGATACTCGTATGTCCTTGAATTTCCTGCCTTAGTACTGTGCATGTGTACATCACCAAGCAAAAGTGCAACTAGTGGATTTTGATATTGAAAAAGTATTTAAAAAAAGGTCAAATTCTAAATTTAATTTTTTAGTGAATAATTGACACTTTTTAAGAACCCACCTGAAATTTAATTACACACTCAAAGGGTTAAAAATCCTGCCAGTTTTAACCTTGACAGAACAAAAATAGTGAAGGTTGAGGCTTACAGCATTTAATAATATCAAAGCCTACTCAGTCTCAGATTTTTACTTTTTTGTAAAACATATTTACAAATTTATTGAGTAATCATTATGTGACATACCCCATGTACATGTATTATATATTATTATTGCTGAAAATTATTGATATTATAAATCAAGGTTTCATAATACGTTTAGCTTTTTCCGTTTGGTGTTGGAGCCAGAGCCAGTGTTTAGTCCTGCTGAAGAATTAGGGGAAGGACCAGTAGCCATTTTCTCTAAAATGCCCACTTCTCCATTACTAACTTTGGCTATGGCAACACCTGAGAATTGGCTGGTAGAAGTAATTGGGTCACCTTATGATCTGGATAACATTCACTTGGAACAGGTAGAGAGCTGTAGTTGTTTCCATTTCTGGTTCTATTTTGCTTTTAGAGCAACCCTTAATAGTGTATCTGAAAACCAGATTTAGTAGAATATATGAATTAATGAAAGTGCACTTTCCAAGAAGCATTGTTGTAAGAGAAAAGGCCGATAAGTGAAAAGAAACTTCAGGAATGGGGCTTGAATCCTATACTTTTGGCTACCAGAGCTAATGCTCTATCCCACTGAACTATCCAAGAGTACAAACCATCCCCATCTCTCTTTACTCATAAAGCTTTAACTATGAGTATGAAACTTTATACTACTTTGTGTTGTTATTGTTCACGTCCCAGAGTTTCTTTTCGCTTAATGACTTTTTTGCTTACAATAATGTTTCTTAAAAAAGTGTAGATTCAGTACTAAGTGTTCACTCTATCATTACTACACTAATATTAACACATCATTTGGTTATTTTTCATTATATCATTAGACATTAAAAAATTTTTATGATTTAGCTGTATTTGAATTATCGTCAATCAGAGCCTTATGTGATTTTATAATCTTTATTCAGGTTAGTAGCTATTAAAATTTCCAGCAAAATAAAATTTGGATTAGTGATAGTGTTTGTCATGCATTAGGCTCTTCCTAACATTACCTTATGAACGATTGTGTACATGTGACTTTAGTTTCACCTTTACAATAAGAGCTAGAAGACAAGAAAAAAAAACAGTTTGTTTTAAAGGCATTGTTCTTAGGATTGATTAAATTGATTAAGTATTTTGTAACTTATGCTTTTTGTGTGTTTTTTTTTTACTCTGGAACTTTTCATGCAAATAAAAATGAAGATGCACAGCAAAAATTGTAGTAATAACTTTTAATGAACAATCTGTTAATTTTTACATGTGAATTGACTTAAACAAGATTAATCTTGAATCATTTAAAACAAGTAAAATTGACTTTAGACCCACCAAGTGGGGAAAAGTTTAACTCTTTGTTTATATTTTGCATGGCTTTAACACAATATTATGTGTAAATACTTGCTATAATATACTTGATTTATGAGATGATTTTCTAGCCAAATAAGGTCATTATGATCAGCTTTTGTTGCAAGTTCATTATAATTTTATATTTCTTTATTTTAATAGTACTTTTTAAAACTTAAAAATTTCACACTTCTTAGAACTTGTTTCCTTCTAGTTTTTCATTTGCTCACAAACTTTAACTCTCTCACTATGAACTCAATCAAATCAGCTGAGTTTATGACCCCAAATTGACCTTTATAGTTTCTATACTATAACTTCTAATATATTTTGTGTATCTTGACAATGTTTTGCAAGCTTTCAGTAATCATTAACAGTCATTTGTAGACAAAAAACTCTGAATTTTTAATGAAGTATTTTCACTAAAAATTTCTTCATGAATATATGGAGTCAGTGTTGACTGCTGCAAGTGCAAACCAGTTTTCATGTTAAGATTAAAAATACTTTTCTTCATCTGAAAAATCTCAAATTTAATTAGCATAATCTCTAAAATCTCCTAAATAAATTTCAAACGTTTATTTTTTAAGTAAAACTCTATAATTAATCTGTTATTTTCTCTATCTTAACTCTATACAAGGTTGGTCAAATTGACCAACCTTGTAACCACCAAGAAAAATTTGAAATTAATCTAAATTACCTTTTTTCTTTCTAGAATGTCTACAAATTGTAACATGAAACTACATTTGTTTATCCTAAATAGCTTTAAACTCATAACAGTATATACATTCTTTTTACTTAAATTTTATTGTTTTATTGCCCTTTGAATCGCATCTAAGTAATATTCACATCATATAATTTATAAATCACTTGGTGAACATGTAGCCCACATTATCCTTTGAATTACATAATGCACGAGCTACTCGTGAAAAAAATGTATTATTATTCTTTATTTTACCTGATCTAACCTAAAAAGTTTGTAATTTTTACATTTTAGTTACATTTATAGTAATAAATGAACACACATTAAAACAAGAAATAAAGTACTTACCTGGGTCCCCCCCTTTTTTTTTACACTTAACCCTACTTTTTTACACTAATGCTACTACTGCACTAAATAATTTTTTTTAACAAAGTGAAGCACCAAAAAAACATGGAATAATAACATGCAAAAAGCAAACAATATCCCATAACTATTACAATTTTTCTGGCTTTCTAACTATGTGGTAAGTAAATTAGAGAAGAGGACACATCTAGAGAACAAATGTCACAATTCTCACACTAGGGGGAAATTTGGATTATTAACTACATTTTTCTGCCAAACTTATTCATGTACCATGATAAGAAAGTAGTTTAATTAGATTGTGAATGTAACTTGTTAAAATCTTGTGATGTGCAGAAAAGGATACCTGTAGCAAAAGTATTTTAAAATGAATATACAGTAGAAACACATGGTACATTTTTATATAAATTGGATTGTGAAATTTTATCTGCAATTTAACATATTTACTTTGACCTCATTTCAGGTTGAAAGCCAAGTGTATGCAGAGTTTGAACTTGAACACTTGTTACTAGAAGGTACAATGTATTTTTTATGACATTAGTATCAATATAATAAAAGAAGCATACATTATCCTTTGTTATGTTCAAAACTTCAGTTGTTATTGTTTCAATAGTATATTAAACATTAAAATTACTGATGATCTTTTGTTTTGGAATGCCAGTATTAGGCATGCAATAGTTTTAAAAGTTTAAAGAAATTTAGTTTAAAAGTCATTTATGGTTTAGATAATTACAAAAGCATTTTTAAGAATGATTAATGTTCGTAATAGAGAGTTATTTTATAATTTTTTCTGTAGAAATATAACGAGAGAATGCCATAATGTTTTTACCCATTAAAACGTTATGGGTATGCATGTAATTTAATTGACAAATTAAAATTCAATTACAAATGAATATACACAGCATCAAATAGATGAATAGAATAATAGTAAAGAAGTTAGCTAAAGGTAATAGAAAAAAAGAGAAATCATGTTATATTTATATATATATATTTAATATAGGTCACTGCTTTGAACAATCTTCTGGTAACCCACCTCGTGGACTACAGTTTACTCTTGGAACAAACAGTACTCCAGTGATGGTGGACACAATTGTAATGGCAAATTTGGTAAGTAAAGCACTCCTGTCATTTTCACTGTTGTTTTTAAGTATTCGCTTTTTATTGATTATTAGATAAATTATTTTTTGTTATTATTATTACCTATTGATATTAAAATTTTAATCCTATGAATCTCAAAAGTCTTTCTTGCTGAAAAATAAAGTGCTTCAATACTAAAAAAAATTTAAAAACCAGAACAATATTTGATATGCATGGTTTTCATAGACTATGTAGCAGAAATAGCTTATGCAAGAAAAATGACTATAGTGCTTATCTAAACTATACTTATAACATTAATTTTGTAGCAGAAACAAAGTGGTTTTGACATGTAAAATATGGCAAAATTGAGTTTAAACCAGTACCTCTTAAAAATCAGGACAAATTACATGATGATCCACCTTATGATTTGTGCCCTGGTGTCAGATGTTTGTATTATGGCTACGAATTTTTCTCTCTTTTATCTTTCTTTTCTCTCATGAATTTACATTTAATTGTATTTCATCTAAGGTTTGGATACGCTTTGCAAGATTCGTGCTATCCTTCCTTATGATGTATTCTCTTCTTTAATTTTTGCTTTTCTATATATATATATATATATGTTAGTGTTTTGTTAATTTTTTTATTAGTTAAACCTAATTCTGGGAATAAGATGTGATTTGTTTATGTTTTATCTATCAGCCAATGTAAATGCTTATTTTACAGGGATATTTCCAATTGAAAGCAGAACCAGGTGCTTGGCTGTTACGGCTTAGGCAAGGTCGCTCTTCTGATATCTATGAGATTGTTAGGTGAGAAAGGTTTATTAAAATCTCAATTATAATACGTTGTTCTTAATGTTTTGTAAAATTAAAGTACATTATGTAGGCTTGTCACTGATTACTTTGTTCTTAATATTTTGTAAAACTATGGTTCAATATGAAAACTTGTCATTGGGATGGTTTGATCTAGGAGTTCAAAGTGCAGTTTATAATGTTTTTCAGTGATGATACAAATCAAAAATAATATTAAAGTTGATAATGGCATTCAACTTGAATTTTCTTTCTAATACTTTTTCATTATTAAGTTTGATATGATGTTGATTTTCATATAAGCAGTACCCTATTTTTAGTAAATGTTCTTAAACTATTTTAGAGGTCACAATGTAAAAGTTTTGTGTTGAGTGTGTGTGAGGAGGCTAATTGGAATATAATAATAGCATGTCTTCATGAAATAAAATAATTAGTTTTTGTTCAGATCAAGAGAAAAACACATGTAAATAGAGTAATTTCTGGCATTAATTCATTCTTCAGAATTTCTTTAAAATGTTTTTGACATTTTGAACCATTTTCCTGTGTTTCTCAAGTTTTCAGTGTAAATATATAGAATTTATGTCATCACATGTGTTTAATTCATAATACCCTGTATCAGATTAAACACGTTTTACCATTATATGTTTCTCATTGAATGAGCAAGTGTTTTTTTTTTACTTATTTATTCTAGTGATAGAAGAAAGTGCTAGATTTCTAGGGATCCATTCAAGTCCCTGAAAATTATTATATGTGGTAGTCTAGTGAAAGTGCTAGATTTCTAGGGATCCATTCAAGTCCCTGAAAATTATTATATGTGGTAGTCTAGTGAAAGTGCTAGATTTCTAGGGATCCATTCAAGTCCCTGAAAATTATTATATGTGGTAGTCTAGCACATACACACAAACATTTCAAAATGAATACCTCTAAACCTTCAACCAAAAGAATATACACAAACAAACAAATCTTTTTAATTCACAAACCATCAGTCACAAATAGTAATGTATGTATTTAAATTTATGCAACAATATACAATATTATTACCGTACTTGTCTACAGTAAGAGCCCAGTGATATTGACTGTCAGCTCTTGGAAGAATATATAATATAATGTAGATTTTAAAAATCTTTAAACTTTTATGTAAAAAACTCAATGTAAGTTCATAAGAGATGTCCATTACATGTTTTTAAAAATACCTCAATAATCAAATCACTGACATCAGTAAAGAAATTGAGCATATAGTAGGAGCTTATAGCCATCTTAAAGTAAAGCAATACACTGAGAATAACTAATACTAGTACCATTGATATCAGGACAGAAATCAGGCATATAACAGATCTCTTCAAGAGAAGCTTGTAGTACCTGAAGTAAGGCAAGTCACTGGAGATAACTGACACTAGTACTATTGATATCACTACATAAATCGGGCATATAGTAGGACCATCAGAAGAAGAGCTTATAGCCACATAAGGTAAAGAAAGACATTGAGTGAAGATAATTGATACTAGTACCATTGATTCAGTGCATAAATCAAGTGTAGTAGACCACCAGGAGAGAGACTTGTAGCCAACTGAAGTAAGGCAAGCCACTGGAGATTCATGACACTAGTACTATTGATATCACTACATAAATCGG